TCTATCAGACATTTTCAAGAGCAACGTACAAAAATTATTTGAAAAAGAAGACATTTGACCAATATGTACTTCCAGTTCCTTTATTCCAGGAAAAAAGAAAGCTGAGCAACTATTTAGAATAGCTCGAGATAGAGACAGTTTCGCCATGTTAATCGCCAACGTCAAGGGGACTTGATAGGTCACGTTAAGAAGAAGTACTTCCAGTCATGATTTATGACGCCAAAAAACTTTCTTCAACCAGGCCACAGCAACCAAACTCAGAGTAGTCCAAACAAGAATGGAACGCTTGCTACTTGGACTGACTCTCAGAGACAGCGTTAGAAACGAAGAAATATCACAGATTAGAGAGAAATATCATATTAGAAGGACAGTCGTCACAGATGTCATAGAGAGCACAGAATGGCTGAAATGAAACTGGGCATGCTATGTGGCCAGAATGAATGACGAACGGTGGTCCCTAAAAATAATAGTGTGGTGACAAATGGACAGACGACGTCAAAAGAATCACTGGGAACTGGAAGAAATTAGGGGAGGCCTATGTTCAACTTTGGACGAAGAAGAATGGATAATAATGATGGTACCCAAAGAAGTAATTGAATTTAGAAGAAATTATAGGAGACTCATTTATTACTAAACTAGTTGGTTATTTTATAAAATTTAATTTTGCAAATGTATTCAAAAAGGTCTGTATGCTATTTAGTTCGTACGAGGTGAAGAAACGTATCAAGAATGCTTAAAAGGACTATTCTTATTTCTATTAAGCTTCAAACAACCTTATTGTTTATTATATACACGTATTCTTAGTCTCGTTCGTGTCTTTAATACTGTATATGTCTAATTGCTAATTACTCGCGTTCATTTTTAATATATTAGAAAGTAAATACGTAAACGAAACCACCGCTGTATTATTCTAATTTAAACAAACGAGAGGCAATTATTTCGGAAAGAACAAAGTTATTTTCATGTTAATAAACCAGATCAAATTATATTATATCTGCTTATCTCGTACGATAGATCTGTATAAAGACTAGGTAGTTGTAGTTAAACATTCATTTCTGTAATTAGGCACTGGTCCCACAGATTGTATATGGAGATGTACGTGGGCATTGTTCGATGATTTATATGTTAGAGCCAAAATTATTAACCTTAGATTTCACCATCTGGTAGTACACCAAACCAACAAAATTATTGGTATTACGGTATTTTTTTCACTTACCTGTTTTCAACTGTCTGAATTGCATGTTCTGCAGAAAATTCTAGTAAGTTGTTAATCAGTGATTAATCTAATTATTACAGATACTTCCTTGGATTATATTTGAATTTAGATTGATTTTTTTTGTATTTTTGATCATATTTGAATTGTTCTTCTTCATTTATACCTATGGTCTATCCATGAATGTCCTCTATATATTTACGTCGTGGCGCGTTTCTTTCAAGCCGGATTTGATGTTTGGGAAGATGAAAAAGTCGTAGGGTCCAGGGTGTTAAATATGGTGAATATGGGGGATGCTTTATGACTGTAACCTATTTTTTGCCTAAATAATCCTTAAAATAATACGTATTGTAACCCGGCACGTGGATGGAGGATCTACAAGTTCTCTTTCCATATTTCGGGAATTATTGCGATATTTTTCTCGGACTCTTCCTAAAACCTCTAAATAATCATATTGGTCTGACCTTGTGGAACCTACCCATTCTATGTAAACTACTTCGTATATCAAAAAACGATCAACATCGCCTCGAATTTAAAGTTGGTGTCGTTTTTGCTTCGATTCTCGATTTTTTGGTTCTCGGATAGTTGATGAGTCTTTCCCTGCATGGTTTGCAAAATCCATTTTTCATCCTATGGTCCGCCGTTAGCAGCCTGGACACATACACTTTTGCATGTTCATGACACACATGTTCACATAATGGCCGTTAGCCTTTTTCTATCTTCGTTATTTGACTATTACAACATGATTGTTGCAACTGCTTGATTTTTTCCCAAGATCGCGAAAACCATGACCCGTTCATTATTTTCACTAGTTCACTATCAGCCTGCGGCGGTTACCAATGTCAGAATCTCTGCTTTAACCGTCAGAAGAACGCCAGAGAATCAGATTGACTAGTAGAAAACCTGTATCTGCAACGTTGTTAACATTAGATCGAGAGAGTTTTGTTCACGGATAAAGACAAAGTACGTAAAATCTCAAGACGATTCTAAGCGTATATGACGAACCCCTGTAGAAAAGTTTTCTGATATCACTATCTCTGTAAGAGGCAATTTGTTGATAAATAAAACATGTGCTTGGGAGGAATTTATTTAAACTCACGCATCCATTTGTGTCATTTCTAGACGATAAATTAGTTTTTATGCAAGACCTGGAAAAGCAAGACTTGTGTTAGATTACTTAAATGAGATTATTATTTAAATCTTAGAGACGTCTATAACGACAGAACTGTCACCGCTTGCCGACAGCCCGCCCTCTCCCTTTGTATGTCCGCACTCCTACCAAGAACTATCACTACGATCGATGCACGCTGGAGTTGCAACACTATAAAATGCCGTGAACCATGACAGAGAACTGAGTTCTATTCAGAGTATTGATCTGGTAAGAGCTTCTACCTCCGGGTCTCTAACTATCGATCATAGGTCACCATCCTTTTCCTTACCCTGCAATCGAATATTGATTGATCGCCTTCGTTCCTCGTCTGTGTCAAGTATTGATCGACCGGCTCCATCCCACCTCTAGCCTAGGCTGAGTAATGATAAGTCGTTCCCTTTGGGTATTGACCAAATATCGTCCTTTATAAATAAATATTATTAGCACTCCATCCGATTGCTAATAATATTTATTTTTGACCAGCATTAGCATTGGTCCGTCGATTTTATTTACAAGGATTCGTCTTTTTTACTTTTATTGAATACATTGTATGGAAGTAAATTTTATTTTTTGTTATTTATTTGAATATATTTTATTTAGATTAAACTTGCGGTTTACTGAGTCTGTTAGAGCTACCCATCCCACGCGATAACGCAAGGTTCGGGTCCAACATAAAAGAATTGCTACATGCTGTTCTATTCGAATGGGAAACAATCTCCAAGCAATCAGAACTTAGTAAGAAAATTACCTAGAAGAATACAAGAGGATATAAAAGTTCGACGAGCTATTACGCGGTAGCAGCATTCCCAATTTTTTGTACAAAAGATAAGTACAATTTGTACATTACCGCTAAATTTAAATTTAAAATTTCAACTTTAAATCAAAATAACTCTTATTTATTTATATATTGTTTAATTTAAATTAAACTAATATACTGTGTTTACTAAAATAATTCCCAGTCCCGACGTCCCTAGACAAGAGTTATGAAGATGTATAAGAGGCAGATGGATTCCTGAGCAGTACGTAACACTCGTGAAGGATATGTATGAGGGAGTGTACACCAAAAATAAAGACTTGTTTCGGATTGACCGAAAGTTTTCCAGTGACTGTTGGTTTGCATCATGGCTCTTCACTGAGCACGTACTCGTTCATTCTTGTTATAGATGTACTGACAGAGAAATCAAGGAAGGGAGCTCCTTGGTCAATGCTCTTTGCTGATGATATTGTGTTAGTAGAGGAGAACAAAGATATGTTGGAAGAGAAGATGGAGGGTTGGAGAAGGCTATTGAAGAGGAAGGGGAGTATATCTGGTTAGGAGATAGAGAAATGGTTGGAGACACAGAATTGTTTGAGAGAAGAAATTGCACACAGGATACAGGCTAGTTAGAGCTGTTAGAAGTTGATGGAAGGAGAGGAAGAGAAAATCGACAAGAAGATGAAAGGTATGTGTGGAAGAAGACTTAAGAGAGGAAGGTTTCTGTGAAGAAGACCAGATGAACAGAAATGAGTGACGACGAAGAGTAAGGAACAGCGACCCCTGAAAAAACAAAAGCTAAGGAAGAAGAAGAAGACTGAAATAAGTCCTAACTGTCTAATAAATGTAGCAATTAAATTTTGTGCTATGCTGGTCAACCTTTTACTTAGAGTGGAAGTAGCTGGAACCTGGAAGTCACCATACAATCAAACATAACTGCTCATATATTAATTAACTTAAAAGAAAAAAATCATGAGCATGCAGTTTATTAAAAAAAAAATAAAGCTGCGTCAATTAAAACAATAAAACAAAGGTTTAAATGTATATTTTTGAAATTTAATAGTCGTTTATAGATTAGTATTTACAAATCGAAATTTTTCAATTAAAGAAGTCTACAACAGTAAGTTTATTTGAGCTATTAATAGCAAGGCATCCGATTTTGTGTTGTACACTTCCTATTTTGACTCCGTCAAAATATTCCCAGCCCGAGTGACTTAACTATGTACATTAAAATAACTAAAAAATTTAATTACACAAATGTGAGGTGAATATTTCTAGTGGTGCGATAAATTTGAGCGGGACTATATTTGTAAAACGTATTTTCTTTCATGATTTAAAATAAGTAGAAATATTTTAAGCACTCTGCGATTATTCTCGAAAATTTAACTACGAAATAAGACGAGTTTGAACCACGAAACCTTCGATCTGCTGATTAATGAGATATAGTAACCTCATCTAACTAAATTAGGAAGTAAAGCCGTTGTAATTTTTTAAACAGTGTTTTCAACTGAAAGTATCCTAAATTGGAAAATAAATGCATATTTATTTACAAATATAATTTTTTCTGTATGTGATTATGTTGAAAGACCACAAAAACAAAATTTTGGGGCGTCTCTTATAAGTCCCATGGGCGAAAACGTTCGTCCATCCCATTCTAATCCATTTAAACTGAGAGTAATCTTACTATTTTTAAAATTCCACATAATACTCATTACAATCTAACCACAAAGATAACAGGAAAAGAAAATTCACAAAAACTGAGATCATTTTGGTTTTTCTGACGTAATGTTCTTTTATGAGGTTATTACTCTGATAAGACAACAAATATTTATAAATAATAGATAGATATATAGTGTAAATAAGTAATAATACTAAATACTTACATGGAGTGTCATCTTCAACTGCCTTAGGGGCGAAGAGGGACTTAAAATGGGGTTTGCAGTAGAGGGTGCCCTCATGGCTCGCGTATGTTTCAACGCTGGAACAAAATAAAACAAAAATTATTGAAAATTGGCACTGTAATTACTTTATTTATAATATGTTGATCAATATACTCTAGAATTGGATATCTTCGTTTCATACAGAGTGGAGTTATGTGAGCGATACACAAAAAATTGTATACCAAATTATACAGCATGATGCAAATGTATGGAATAAATTCATTATTTCAGAAACAGATGACTTTAAAAAAATCTTAAAATAAGTCAATTTTAATTTTTGAACGGTCATCAACTGCTTATATGTGTTGAATATTACGTCATCAGTGTCGGCGTAATGACGTAATCGACTATTTTTTTAAATACAAACCGAGGTCACGCGACAGCTCATTTGAAAGGTCTCCTTATCGTCTTTGCAACGATGTAATCATTTGAATGTTTATTTCTACAGGGTTAACCAAAACTGTTGGTTTATTAATACAATTAACTTATAACAAATGTTTACTTAAATACAATTAAATTACAACAAATGTTCAAAGTGAAGACCTTCAACAATAATACAATGTGAAAGATGGGCAATTAATTCTTTGTAACAATAAAACACTAAAAACTTTGTTTTCAAACTTCCACAAAATTTATTTTAAATATTATCACTACAGCTGTTTCGGCTGATTGCCTTTCTCAAGTGATCTATTTTGGCTTGGGTTTACAAATTTATAGTCTCTAATGAAATAGGTTGAGGAGGGGAGAACTGTTTGTCTCAAGTTGGTCATTCAGAATTATATCTGTGTTTTTTAATTTGTTGATTTTCATAGATTCTAGCAAAGATAGCTTAAGGCCTTTATTTTGAATGTGAAGAATTTTAAATTTGTCATTAAAAGAATGATTATGATCTAGAAGGTGAAGTGCGTATGTCGAATCTGTTTTTCTATTCTTGAAAGCCCTTTTATGTTCTGCTATTCGTTTATCAAAGTTTACAATGTAAGTTTTTGGGCAGTCGCCACATTGAAGTTTGTACACACCACTATTTAAATGTTTTTTATTTTGGCTCTTGTTATTTTTAATATATTTGCCTAGGTTGTTATTTGTTCGGAAAGCTGGTGTTATTCCTTTCTTTTTTATGTGTTTGGCAATTTTTGTTGTTATTTTGCCTGTATATGTAATCGAGCAGAAGGTACTGGGTTTTTTCTCTGGTGGTGTAAATACTAATTTCAGGGCTTTCTTGTATAGTTTTTGATTTAACATTTTATTAATTGTTTGTTCGTTGTATCCGTTGTTTACTGCTATCTGCTTAATTATATTTAATTCTGTCTCAAAGTTGTATTTTGACATCGGAATTTCTGTTAATCTATGTAACATACTATGATAAGCTGCCAGTTTATGTTGTGTTGGATGGGATGACGAATTGTGTATAGTCGTGTCAGTATGGGTAGGTTTATGAAATATGGAGAAGTCATGTTTGTTTTGAAGTCTGCTAATTTTTAAATCTAAAAAATTTATGGATTGACTTTGTTCTGTTTCTATTGTAAATTCAATATGACTATGAAGTGAATTAATATATGATAAAAATTGGTCGAGTTGCCTGTTAGTTCCTGTGAAACATACCAGTACGTCGTCTACGTATCTCCACCAATATAAAAACTGTTTGAATACGGGATGTTTTGAAATCTTTGTCTCTAGATGATCCATAAAAATATCTGATAGCAATGGGCTTAGAGGATTACCCATTATAAGTCCTGCACTGTTATTTGTATAAATTTTATTATTAAATTCAAAGTAGTCCTGGTTTATGCAAACTTCAAGAAGATGTAAAATTTCCGATGTAATTATTGGATTTGTACTTTTTTATTAGAATAAAAGTTTCTGTAGGAGGGATACTAGGAAAAAGATTTTTTACGTCAAATGAAATTAATCTGGAGTTATTAGGTAATTGAAAATGTTGTATTTTATTAACTAGTTCTATTGTATTTTTTATGGTAAATTTAGGTGAAAATTTAGTGTGGTCTAAAATAATTTCTAACAGTTTTTTTGAAATTTTATATGACGGAGCTGTATAAAAAGATACTACAGGTCTTATTGGGTGATCCGGTTTCTGTAGTTTAATGAAAGAATATAATTTAGGAGGCTGTGGGTTCATGATACTGAGGTATTTCTGTTCTATTGGATTTAGTATTGATTTTGAATTTTTTAACGCTAGCTTAATTTGTTTTTGATATTTTTCTGTTGGATCTTTGTGTAAAGTTTCGATATTTTGATTATTTAAGAATTCTATTGTTTTGTTATTATATTCTATTTTATCTATAGCAATAGTAGTGTTACCTTTGTCTGCTTTTGTAAACACAATGTTGTTTTCTATTGATTTATTTCTAATTGAAATTGCTGTTTTATTCTCTTTGTAACAGGAATTCTAAGTTTCACTACACACATCTGTAATAAATTTGGCAATTATACTTTTTTGATATTGTTAGCAGTTTTGTTTAACGCTACTTCACATTCTACACCTAAATATTCTAAAGTTCTCTCATTATTATGTTGGGGCAAGTTGTGTTTAAATCCTTTCTCTAAAAGCTGTATCACGCTGTTACTAAATTTAGTATCTGTTAAATTTATAAATTTATTGAAAAAAGTATGGTTCGACAAACTTTTTGTATAATGAATATTGGGTTTTTTACTATTGGAAATTAGATTATTTAGTTTTTTACACTGTGTATTGAATTTTTTATCTATTATATTATCTATATTAATTCTCACGTTAGAATCTAGGATGTCAAATTCTATATTATTTAATCTATAATTTATATATATATATATATATATATATATATATATATTTATATATATATATATATATATATATATATATATATATAATCTATTATAATGTGGCGACTGCCCAAAAACTTACATTCGTCAAACTGGTAGAAACTTTGATAAACGAATAGCAGAACATAAAAGGGCTTTCAAGAATAGAAAAACAGATTCGACATACGCACTTCACCTTCCAGATGATAATCATTCTTTTAATGACAAATTTAAAATTCTTCACATTCAAAATAAAGGCCTTAAGCTATCTTTGTTAGAATCTATGGAAATCAACAAATTAAAAAACACAGATATAATTCTGAATGACCAACTTGAGACAAACAGTTCTCCCCTCCTCAACCTATTTCATTAGAGACTATAAATTTGTAAACCCAAGCCAAAATAGATCACTTGAGAAAGGCAATCAGCCGAAACAGATGTAGTGATAATATTTAAAATAAATTTTGTGGAAGTTTGAAAACAAAGTTTTCAGTGTTTTATTGTTACATAAAATGAATTTCCATCAAGTAACGGTCGAATCCATCAATTAATTAATTCTTTAATAACGTTTTTGATGCCTTCAGGTGTTATTTGGGAAATTTCCTTTCTGATGCGCTTCTTCAACTCTTTTAGATTATTCGGTCGATTTTTTCTGCTTTTTAAATATCCCCACAAAAAAAGTCTAACGAAGTCAAGTCTGGAGATCTCGGAGGCCATTCGATGGGCTCACTTCTACCTATCCACCTACCTGTGAAAACGTTATTAAGGTAATTCATCATGTTGGTACCACAAATCATTTCTATTTGGAAATAGCTGTATCAGCTGTGGCAACAAATAATCCTGAAGAAATTCTAGATGACGAGAAGCAGTTAATGTTTTGCTTAAAAAAATATGGCCCTACAATTTGATTGTTTATAATGCCGGCCAAAACATTCAATCTCGGGATATTGTGTCCTATAAATACTCTTCCATCCAATGTGGATGTTTACTTGCCCATGTCTGGCGTTTTACGTGACCGTTTAGCATAAAAGACCCTTCATCAGAAAAAAGTACCTTTTGTATGAAAGCCTGATCTCTGTTACATTCTTCCATAACGGTTTCCCCGAATTCGATTCTTCTATCAAAGTCATCTTCTAATAGCTCCTAGACCAGATGTACTGTATATGGATGCCACTTCTCCTTTTTTAGCACTTTTACAACAGTTCATTGGTGGACATTATTATCTAGTGCGACCTGCCTAAAACTGGTATGGGGATTTTCTTGAAACTCCAGTACAACGTCCAGTTTCTTGGCTTCGTTTATTGATTTTCTACCACTTCCGGGAAGATCTTTAGCATGGCCTGTTCCTCTATTTTTTTTTCAATTTTACTTACTGTTGATTGAGTAGTTGGTTACCGATAGGGGTATTTAGCATTAAATAAATTACGAACTTCGGCCTGAGTCCTCACACTATATCCATAATCAATCATGATTAAAATCTTTGATCGTTCTGTTTCTGTTAGTTTCATTTTTGTAAATGCTGTTAATGTCGGCAAAAAACTCGAAGAGTAAAAATTTGACATATATTATTTAACAGATTTACAGATCATTGACAAATAAAGACGAGTCAATGACAATATTGATTTAAATATTTTTGAAAAATATCTTGGAATACTTACTACAATAATTAATTTCATATTATAATGGAGCATTGTTTGTTATCAATGCATTTTTTTTCGGAACCAGCAAAAAACACTATTTTGTTTTATTCCCAGTGGCGTTCCTTAGTGTATTTTAGTTCAGTAAATGAATATTTATTGTAGTTCCATGTTACTTAACAAAATTCATAATTTTGGTGAACCCTGTAGAAATAAATATTCAAGTGATTACATCGTTGGAAAGACGACATGGAGACCTTTCAAATGAGCTGTCGTGTGACCTCGGTTTGTATTTAAAAAAATCGTTGATTACGTCATTACGCCGAAATATATATATATATATATATATATATATATATATATATATATATATATACATATATATATATATATATATATATATATATATATATTATATATATTATATATATATATATATATAAGGATCACTCAGACAAGTGGTGGGTTCTTATATCGGTCTCTAGGTGGAGAAATAAAAGACAAAGTTGATAGGCTACTTTATCTATTTTGAAGACGTTTCGCTTTCGAGTTTTCATCAGTTCATCTAAAAAATTTTACAATATGAGAACCACACAATCATG